TGTCCTCATGTACGACAGATCAAGCGCACCACTGAGTTCGTGGCGAACGCAAGACTAGATCTCTTGCCGCAAGCAGAGGTCATACAACTCGAATTCCACCAAACACAAGCAGGCTCAGCAGAACAAATAGCAATGCAAGCGTGCGGCCTATCAGGCTGCGTCATCTGGCGGCCAGGCAACCATCCTCCAATCCAGACACGGAGCAGTTCCTGTTGCAATGGCGGAGATGCGACACAGAAAGGCGCAGACATGGCGATATGTTGGACAACACTACCACCTATTGCAGCGAGCTGGCGGGAACTGACGACAGTGTTCCTGTAAGAAAGCGTTGCCCCAAAGGAAGATGCAAGTGCTTGTCAGGTCAGAGCTCCCTGCACGTCACTCTACCAGCTGCATATGTGCAACAGTAGCAGCTGTAGCGACCAGTGCATCGCGTATGTATAACTTTGAACATTTACTAGCCGGGGCAAAGCCTTACGTCAATGAAAAACAGACAATCTAGTTGCCATCTTGAAAAATATTGGTGTCAGTGTGCTTTATAAACAGGAAAATCCGCTTCAGCAGGCTTGGAAAACATAGGAATCCACACCTAGATCATGCAAATCGGACAACTAACAATACTTCTAAGCAAAACGTCAACTTCGGGACGGTGGCTAATTTGGCCGACCCATCTTTGAAAAAATGGCGCCATCTTGGATTTTCAAGTTGGCCAATCGGCCAATTTGATTAGTTATCACTTGGGGAACACATGGTGTGGCAAATTTGATGCTGTGTATCATCATTTTTCACGTTCCTATCAAAAATAGCTGGTTATCTGCCCCACTAATATAGCGCCACCGGCGCGACATTTATGAAATAAAAAAATTAATTTTAATTGTATTTGGAGATTGATTTTTGTAGTTTATATTTTTTTATATTTTTGGCGTCGTCTGCGTCGCCGTCGCGTCATGCTGATTTCAGGAAATATATTGGTGTTTGGCGGGTGACCCTCTTAGGGGGGGGGGTCGGAGAGCAATGATAGACAGACAGACAGACGAAAAACAGACTCGCCATTTATGTAAGAGATATATAGACTATATATAGATGAATCTACTGCGGATATCGCTGCGTCGTCTCACGTGCTGCACCAATTTGCACCTGCTGCATATTGTTATTAGGCCGAATGTACAGCTGCAGTGCGGCTTCGTGCTACGTGGCGGTGATCGCTATATTAGTATCATTGACTGTGCGATAGCGCGTTACTTTATTCATGATGCTCCGACAGCTCAGCCGCAGGAATCTATGTGAAAGAAAGTAGATGGATTGTTGCTCAGGTAATTCCAGAAATAGAATTCTCACAAGCAGAATAGATACGACATAGCATTAACCCTGCCCTTTGCACTCACGCATTTACTCTGTCCTTACAGTCACGCGGCCCATCCTGCGCTCGCGGTTACCGTGTCTTTCACAGTCATAGTCACCAAGATATTACTATCGCACAGTTACCCTAGGCTCACACTCACACAGTTAGCCTGGCCTCGCAGTCACACAGTTACCCTAGCCTTCCAGTAACACAGTTACCCTAGCCACACAGTCACACAGTTACCCTAGCCCTCGCAGTCACACAGTTACCCTAGGCTCACAGTCACACAGTTATCCTGGCCCTCGCAAGTCACACAGTTACCCTAGCCACACAGTCACACAGTTACCCTAGCCACACAGTCACACAGTTACCCTAGCTTCGCAGTCACACCCTAACCCTAACCTCCCAGTCACACAGTTACCCTAGGGCCTCACAGTTACCATTGCTCCGCTGATCTTATTCTGGACCTCGCGTCACACAGTTACCCTAGCCTTCCAGTAACAAAAGGTTCACCCTAGCTCCACACATCACACAGCTTAGCCTTGGCCTCACAGTCACACAGTTACCCTAGCCTCACAGTTTACATTGCCTCGCTTGATTTATTCTGGCCTCGCAGATCACACAGTTACCCTAGCCACACAGTCATCACAGCTTACCCTTTCCTCGCAGTCACACAGCTTACCCTAGCCCTTCCAGTCACACAGTTACCCTAGCCACACAGTCACACAGTTCACCTATCCTTCGCAGTCACACAGTACCCCTTAGCCACACACTCACACAGTTAGCCTGGCCTCACAGTCACACAGTTACCCTGGCCCTCCACAAGTCACACAGTTTACCCTAGCCTCGCCAGGTCACACAGTTACACCTATCCTCGCAGCTCACACAGTTACCTTAGTCTTCTCCAGTAACACAGCTACCCTAGCCACACAGCTCACACAGTTACCTAGGCACACAGTCACACAGTTACCCTAGCCTCGCAGTCACACAGTTACCTAGCCTCCCAGTCACACAGTTACCCTAGCCTCTGCAGTCACACAGTTACCCCCCCCCCCCCCCCATAGCCCTCACAGTTACCATTGCCTCGCATGATTATTCTGATTTCGCCCTCGCCAGTCACACATGTTACCCTATGCCATTCAAGCACACAGTTACCCTATCCTCGCGAGTCACACAGCTTACCCCTAGCCACACAGTAACACAGTTTACCCTAGCCCGTCGCAGTCACACAGTTACCCTAGCCTCGCAGTCCACACAGTACCTAGCTTCGCAGTCACACAGTTACCTAGCCCACACAGTAACCACAGTTACCCTAGCCTGCGCAGTCACACAGTTACCCTAGCCTCGCAGTCACACAGTTACCCTTAGCTTTCCAGTCACACGTTACCCTAAGCCAACACAGTCACACAGTTACCCTAGCCACACCAGTTAACACAGTTATCCTACCCACACTACTTCACCAGTTACCCTAGCCTCACAGTCACACAGTTACCCTTAGCCCACACAGTAAACAGCTTACCCTAGCTTCTCAGTCACACAGTTACCCTAAGCCACACAGTCACACAGTTACCCTAGCCCACACAGTTACCCTAGCTTCACAGCTACACAGTTACCCTAGCCTTCTGTGATTTATTTCTGCGCCTTACACTCAGTTACAGTCACACCGTTACCCTGACCTCATTCGTCACACCAGTTAACTCTAGCTCACAGTCACCTCATCTGTTTCATTATTAGCACTGTACTTATTTAGCCAGGATCTCCTGAACCAATGTTTTCTTTTCGAATGTGAAGCCATCGATAGCCCAGCTGTCACATTCTAATCGGGTTTTATCACTATCACATTCCACTGCTACCGGCCACATTGCTCATAATATCTTGACAAATTGAAACGGAAATTACAAATTTCGTTGAATGGACTAGGCAATGACTTACTGTGATAAGCTATCATTAGCCTTTATACTCTACGTATTCAGGTCTGTTTTAGCCATCGTTGTAAAATAGTTTACAGGTAACCTATATAAATTGCCCTCTTGTATTCCTGATTGACATGCGTGCCAGCATTTCTGACCAAGGCTGACTTTGATAACTGATCTTATTCGTTAGTTGTTATAAATTTGGTTCGTTTGTAAAATTGTATGTCAATTGTTATTATTTTCCGTCGTATAGTTTTACATTAAAACCAGCGAATATGACCTTCACGTTGTGCATATGTTGTTTATGAACCAAAGGTATCCTCGTTACGTACACTGACGTTCACGCCACGAACTGGCTATCTCCGAAGTTGAATGCATTACAGTCCTGCTCGTATGGTAGTGCTGCTGGTGGTTGCGCATGGTCATATTCCATACTTAGCATTATCAACTTCCGCATCAGCACTTATCCAGTATATCAAAGAATGATTGCAAAAACCCTAACCCTAACACTAACAATAACACGTAAACTAATAAACCGACTTCGGCCATATTCTTATATAGGCCTCACTATCTATGGTATACTGACGTCACGAGGCGATTTTGGAAAGTCACCCTTTGGTTCATGGCAACATATGCCACCGACATTCACAACGGATACGAGCACGCTACGTCATACACACAATATGCAGGCTATGACTGCATATACAATATCAGCCGTTGTTAGTAGCGTCTTATATCAGCGCACCTGTGATTGCTCATAGAACGTAATTTCATGCCTTGAAATTAATTGAGAAACTGCGTCTTAGTTTACATAGTTTATCGGCCGATCACTTTTCACTCGTTCTTAATGACATAAATACATAGCGAATGATTAAAAAACGTTTAGCATTGCCAATCGTAGAATCTTGTGAAGGTATAAGCAAATACTGTACCGCGACTAAACGATGTTGTACTTCAAGAAACGCCACTAAACGATCGTTAGCACGTTTTCTCTTTACTTTACCCGACGTGCCCCAGCCAAAGTGTCTTGCGTTTTGTTGCTGCAACTAACCCCCTGCTAATAACTCGTTGCTAATTAGCGATTTGCAACGGCAATGCCGCTAGCCCTGTCCGGAGACGACCTAACGCACGCGCCGCTTTAAAAGCCGCAATTAAACAAATTCACGCTAAAATATTTCGCACTGACATCTGCCATTGACAATGCTAAATGAAGGTGCTTATACAATAAGCAAGCCCTGTGCGCCATTCTTAAAAACATATCTCGGCGGCGAAAATTGTTCTGGGTTTAATTAACGCATTCGCCGATGACACTTCTTGATATTCCTATTAATACGTTCGTATGCATGCTGGTGTATAGTTCCTAGTGGGAGAGTTCACTTGACATTTCAGGGCTTTATGCCTGTTGTTAATTGTAATAGTTTTCGTTTTTTCGTCTCTCCCTCTCTGAAAAAGTCGGCAGTGATTATAGCTTAAACTTCATCGCTTTTGCATCAATGTACTAGCTAATTCATTTGCGTTCATCTATTTTTCATTCTGCATCAATAGTTATCGCAATCACCTATTCGCCAGGCCTTGCGGGGCGGTGAAAATTCCGGTCAGACGTACGGAAGGATTGATGTTTGATTGCCGACTATACGCGGCACGTCACAACGCCCTTGCTCTGTCTGGCTACTTAACATGTGCCAACGACAGTAACGAGAAAAGGGGAAATAATCCAGAAGGGAAACCGTTTACTTCGTCACACAGAATTAGCACACACGCCTGAGCGCGCTGGTAGCTTGCCGTGTTCTCTGTTACAAGCACGTTCCCCTCGCGCGCCCGGGCCCGCCGGCGAGCTGTCTCTGTCTTCACATTGTGGCTTGTCTAGAATGGATACATTAGCTCCGATGAATAGAACCACGATAAGGAGGACCGGAAAATGCTATGCTTAATGTAATTTCACCTCGTTTTGGCGCGAATAATATTTTTTTAATTAAGTGTCTGTCTGAACGCACTTCGACAATGCGTAACATGAGCAGCCTGTCAGTGCCGATCGTGATGTTAAACTAAAAATACGGTATTAAAAAGCGATAGTGTTATTATTACTCTCTGCTAACTCCGCTACTGTACAATTAATGACGTGTGTGCGTGACTGCCAGACTCACTCGTGCCGCCATGTTCGGCCGTGCTTGCTATGACTGTGCTAATGGATATCTATTTACCTCATGTTATGATGACACGAGGACATCAGAGAGATATCGCCACTGTTTTACATTGTCTCAGCTCTACCGTATGTACATGAGTTTTTGTTTCGTTAAAAAATACATGCTGCTTCCTAAGCAATAGACAATAAACAACAAATGGAGTGTTCACGCGGCCTCAAACTATAAACGCAATTATCTTGTGTACATTCCGTTCATCTCGATAGCTATGATTAAGTTACGTAAGGGTATGACATTTCGTAAGTGTTTTTCATCAAGTAAAATTCATGAATACGCTGTAAACGGTGATGCCTGCAATTTTATCTCACGCTGTTTTTCGGACAAAGTGCGACAATGCGTTGGACTTACGATAAGCATGGATGATTATCGCGAGAGCGATGATTTACGATAAATGCTAAAGGCTTACGCATCCTTCTAACAACGAGTTTCTTTTGTCAACGGTATCGCTGAGTTTCGCATTACGAAAGCGAACGTGTCGACATAAGCAAAATGTCGCGCTCTACATCGCCCAAAAATTACGTTGGATGTAATGCGTCTATGTTGAACTGATCGTGCAAGCTCAAAACTTTGCAGTGATTAACGTCATTAATAATCGACAGCGTGGTAAAACGGCTGGACATGCCATCTAACAATTGGTGACTAATAGTTTAGCAATCAAATATTTATCCGCTTTAAAACGAAAAAAAATATCCCGTGCCTGAGTTGGCTATTAATGCTTTAATGCGCGTGGAGTACGAGCCAGAATAATATTCTCCGTAATTGACAGTAAATAGGCCTGTTTGATATGCTCAGAGTAGATAAATAGGCGATAGATTCCCTATTAATTACTCCTGAATATGCCTTTTTTAGCAAAAATTCCATCGTGACAAAAATTTTGTTCGCGATGTCCAGAACATTTGAGAAAAGACCGTTTGTGGCCGACCATCAAGCAAATGGGCCTAATGCCTATTGCAGCGCAATTTTTCGTGATTTATATCAGCTATACGCTGGAAACTAAATTTACACGCTACCTTGATATACCGGTTCACAACCCGCTTTGATGGGGCATTCTCTCTTATCGAGCGCACCGAATTACGCAGACTATTTAAAAGAAAGGGCGCATGTTACTAGCAAAACGGCCGGACGGAAAGGGCGAAGCTCGCGTACATAAGCTGTCGTTAAATGCTAGACGACGACTGTGGCCGCCGCGCCTCGCTTGCAGCACACTTTTAGCGCCCCGCCGAGGCGGAGAGAGGGGCGTAGAGAGCAAGCACATAGTGAAGAGAGAGAAGAGACGAGAGCAGACTAGAGAGAGAGAGAGAAAAGAATGAGAGAGATTTATGAGAGAGAGAGAGAGACTGAGGAGAGAGAGAGAGAGGACGAGAGCAGTGCTTGCTGAGCAGAAGATCGACAGAGAGGGAGAGAGATCGACAGAGAGGGAGAGAGAGAGGGGGGGGGATCTGTAGGAGAACGCTTTAAACGGCCTGATGAAGCAGTATTGAGACGAGACGTGCAAATAGAGAAACAGCGAGATATGAGACACAGAGAGATGGGCGAGAGAGAGAGGAGGGAGAGAAGTGGCGTGTGTGTGTGTGAGAGGCAGAGAGATAGAGCAGACACAGAGAGAGACACAGAAAGCATCAAACGACGAGGTCCAGCGGCAGGCGGGGAGAGAGAGAGAGCAGAGCAGAGAGACGGAGAGAGACAGAAGAGACGAGAGGGAGACGGAGAAATTAGCAGCATAGAGATAAGAGATAGAGCATAGAGAGAGAGAGCAGAAGCAGAGAGAGGACGAGCACCGAGAGAGATCCATCGAGAGAGAGAGAGAAAGAGCAGAGAAAGATTAAATGAGCGGGCGGGGGAAGGGGGGAGAGATAGACACACCCACGTACGCACTCACGCACGCACGCACGCACGCACGCACGCACGCACGCACGCACGCACACAATCACGCACGCACACACACAATCACGCACGCACACACACACACGCACACACACGCACACACACACGCACGCACGCACACACACACGCACATACGCACACGCACACACACACGCACGCACGCATGCACACGCGCACACACACACACAAAGAGAGAGGAGGAGAGCTGCATTAATCGAACGGCCGGTATATAGAAAAAGCTGCGTGCGCGATGCTATTCCGGTGAGGATAGCAGCCGTGGACTCGCCGCCAGTGGCAGTCAATTTAAAATTGCTGCTCACGAAAGTTTGGCTTCTCAGTCGGCTCGTCCTGAGCAAAGGGGAGGAGGCGGAGGAGGAAGAGGGAGAGGAGGCGGAGAAGGAAGAGGGGGAGGCGGCGGAGGAGGGGCGAGAGAGGAGAAGGCGGATGAGGAAGAGGGGAAGAGGCGAAGAAGGAAGAGGGGAAGAGGCGGAGAAGGAAGAGGGGAGGCGGCGGAGGAGGGGCGAGAGAGGAAGAGGGGGAGGCGGCGGATGAGGGCCGAGGGAGGAGGAGGCGGTGGAGTGTTGGATTAGCCCACGCAGCGTGTGAATAAGGCGACCGGTCGTCAGTGAGCAGGCTAAAGGCAAAGAGGTCGTTGTCGCTGCAGTGTGGGACCGTACCGACAAACGACAACAGTCGCGGCGACTGGCGCAGCCACACTGCAGCGACAACGACCTACCGTAACGACAAAGTTCACCCAGCACTCACCACATTGCCAGTGCCAGTGGCATACACGAGCAAACGGCAAAAAACTCCTGCTGCTGCTAAATAAATTGCTGTAAAAACGCTCTATGTATAACGATAATATAATAAAGTAATATATACGCAGCATATTATACGAACGCGCACATAATCACGTCTGATGGCTGACCGTAGCCTTGCACGTTTTGGTTAGATGGGTTCGCGGCCCCACTATTTCTGACAGGCGGTGCGAGTTTAGCGCTGGGGACCAGTCTACTTCCTGGCTAGCATTGTTGTCATAAAATTATAAACAAACGACTTTTCAGAAAATTAGAAACTATTGTTTCCTATGAGCCATTGCACACTGACGCGACGACGACCGGCGACAACCTCGACGACAAAAATATTTAGAAACGTTTCTATTTCCCAGCGACTGTCGCCGGCGACACTTTACAAATGGCCAATCACAGCCGTTTCCATCGGCACGTGACATCGCCATTACCGTTACGGTCGGTCGTTGTCGCTGCAGTGTGTCTTGGCCTTTAATGACGACGACGACGACGACAATGATAACAATAATGATGATGATGTTAACATTGATGATGATTCTGATGATAACGTTGGTGTTCATGATGATGATGGTGGTCCTGCAAGATGTTAATTATATTAATTATATTAATGTCAACGTCGTCATCGTTGTCATTATTAACATCAACTTCATCATCATCATCAATGTCTTTATCATCATCATCATCATCATCATCATCATCAACATCACCATCATTATCTTCATCACCATCAACATAATCATCATCATTGTCATCATCATCATCATCATCATGACCATCATCATCTTGATGATGGTCATGATGATGATGATGATGATGATGAAGACATTGATGATGATGATGATTAAGTTGATGTTAATAATGACAACGATGACGACGTTGACATTAATATAATTAATATAATTAACATAATTAACATCTTGCAGGACCTCGTGCGAGCGATGCTGCACGTTGATCCGGCGCAGCGGCTTACTGCACAGCAAGCTTTGCGACATCCCTGGCTCGCTCATCGTGCGACCCTACCCCAGCTACAGCTAGCCTTCCACGATGCCTCCGCCGTCAAGGTATTGTTTGTTGCTGTTTTCGGTTTCTTTATTTTATACTGGACTCAAGGGTTTAAATCCACATCAGTAGAACCCACTCCGGGAATCTGGCTCGGTCCAGTTTTGGCAGCTCTCACGCTTGCTCTCCATATGACACGGTGCAAGGGGTCTACAGCGGAGAGATTCCACTGTTTCCTATCCTACTTCACAACCTCTTTCCAAGACATCTTCGGCCTCCCACGTCTCCTTACACCAACAACTTGAACTTCACCCAGTGTCTTGATGGCATCGGTGGAGCGCTGAACATGGCCATACCAGCGGAGTCTTCTCTCACGTAATATGACATCAAGGTCCAAGATACCCAATCTGCCCAGCAGCTCGTTAGAAGGGGCCAAATCCTTGATTGTGACATTGCAGATCCATCTGATCATTGCCCAATTATTATTTTTATTTTATTATTAAATCTTTATTGCATGTAATTCAGATACAAATACATGTACTGATGACAGTTTATTTTTAGTGCAGTAACAGCTTCGAATATGCGGCAATGCTGCAATCCTTCATTGTTTCATGGCTGCAGTTTTGCAATGTTGTGGTGTTGCAATGTTGTAATGCTGCCATATTGCGATGCTGCAATTCTGCAATCCTTCAATGTTTCATAGCTGCAGTTTTACAATGCCATGATGTTGCAATTTGCTGCGATGCAATGTTGTAATGCTGCCATGGTGCAATGTGAAACGCTGCATTGTTTCAAAATAAGGATCTTTTCAGAAAAGGGGAAAGCAGTTGAATGTTCAGGGCGCGAAATTAGCACCGGCCCACCGGCATATGCCGGCAAATTATTTGGAGGGCCGGGAACACTGGCAAAACACCAGCCCTCCGAGCCGGTGGTTTCAGCCGTGCTAGCGAGTACCAACATTTATATTTATACCATTAATGAGAAAATTATCTATATTACTGTTTTACCTGAAGGATATCGTGCCATAATTTATCAACATTTTACAAATTTGAAATCGAGAATGCAAGCGTGAAACATGACATTGATTTTCAAACAAAATTTGCGAGGGTGTAACGTTGGAATGATGATATAAATTCAAACTTGCGTTGTAACCGTAATAAACTTTAATATCTCACAACTTTCACAGAGAGACAAAGACACGCGCACACGCACATACGCGCGTGTGCCTCCTTCCGCGACCAGAACCAGACTCCTCCCCTACTCTTACATCTCTCTCTATATATTCCCCTAAAACTCCTACAAACCACATGCACCACGCACATGTACCCGTTCTCCCCGACCGCGTCCTACCTCCCATTTCACAATGACCCTAGAAACTGCCTAACCTAACCACGTTTACAATTCTCCCTAATACATCAATGTAGCCGCCAGAAGCGACGCTCTGTCTAGCTAGACTATGACTAAAACAACTACTAGTCTAGCTGCACTGACTAATTCATGTAACACGTGCAAAACACATGTTACAAGAGCTGGTAAATTATGGTGAGGGCTGGTAAAAAATTGCTGTTACCAACTTACCAGCCCTCTGGGCCGGTGCAAAAAATCAGAATTTCGTGCCCTGTAAGTCATAAGCGCAGTAACGTCATAAGTGCAGTAACGTCATAAGTGCAGTAATGTCATAAGCGCAGTAACGTCATAAGTGCAGTAATGTCATAAGCGCAGTAACGTCATAAGTGGTCGCGAGGTCGTAAGGTCGCTGACGCACGCCGCGCAGTAACCTCGTATGCGCTCGTCCACTCGCCAACGTTATCTCTCTCTGCCACCGGAGGGCGTCACCTCATTGTTATCACCATTGGTTTCTTCAATCGATAGCTCTTCATTATGTATGTTATATTTATGTTTAGATCTTTATTTTTCGCCCCCACCCCATCTCCAAAACGAGCGCGCGCCCCAAGCAAGCGATCGTGGCAGCACTAACCTTCTCTCTCTCTTTCTTCTCACTAAAGTTTCTTTCACTCTCCGTCTCCATCACGATCGTTTTCTTCAATCGCTAGCGCTCCATTGTGTGTTACCCCCCAAGCAATCGCAGTGTCACCAACTTTTCCTCTCTTTGTTTCTCTCTCTCGTTGCCGCCACCAGGGGTCGATGTCCCTCCCTCCTGCCCATCAACGTTATCTCTCTCCGCCACCAGAGGGCGTTACCTCATAGTTAATTCAATCGGTTTTCTTCGATCGATACATCCTCAATTTATTTTCGCCTCTCCAAACGAGCGTGCGCCCCAAGCAAGCAATTGCAGCGTCATTAACTTTGTCTCTCTTTCTCTCGTCGCTGCCACCAGGGGGGCGATGTCGGCGACGTTTACGACGTTGAGCGAGCAGGGCGACCTTCTCTCCCTGCTGCCCATCAGCGTTATCTCTCTCCGCCGCCAGAGGGCGTCACCTTATTGTTAATTCAATTGTTTTTCGATCAATGCATCTTCAATTAATTTTCGCAAGTAGAATTATAAGTTTATTCATTTTTTATTTTTATTTTTTTTTATTTTTTTTTATTTTTTTCCAATAGCTTTATTTTAGTAACATTCTTTCTCTCTCTCTCCGCCAGGGGGCGATGTCAGCGACGTTTAAGGCGTTGAGCGAGCAGGGCGACCTCCCCTCCCTGCTGCCAATCAACGCTTCGAACCTCGCTCAACGCCGCAAGAACAAACCCGGATCCAAGAGCTCCAACGACTGAGAGGTGGCGCCACCGCAGAAACGGAGGAGAGAGGTGGCGCCACCGCAGAAACGGAGGAGAGAGGGGGCGCCACCGCAGAAACGGAGGAGAGAGGGGGCGCCACTGCGGAGATGGGGGAGAGAGGGGGCGCCACTGCGGAGATGGAGGAGAGAGAAACAGGGGGAATCTCCTCAGAGAGGGACGAGAGAGGGAGGGAGCTGACTTGGAGAGGAGAGAGAGAGGGGTGCCTCCGCAGAAAGAGGAAGCCGTCACAGAGGTGGAGGAGAGAAAGATGAGGAGCCACTGCGGAGAGGGAGGAGGAGAGAGGAGCTGCAGCCATGATAGAGGAGGGAGCATCACCGCATATTGAGAGAGAAGGGGGTGATAAACAGAAAGAGGGAGAGACAGAGAGAGAGAGGGGGAGAGACAAGAGAGAGAGAGAGAGCAGCAGAGAGAGAGAGAAAGAGAGAGAGAGAGAAGAGAGAGAGAGAGAGAGAGTGAGAGAGAGATGAGAGAGCATGAGAGAAGAGATGAAAAGCAGGGAGAGAAGGGAAGATCATGGAGAAGAGCAGAGATGGTGATGACCTCATCGGGTTCCATGGCCGAGAGCGGCAGAGTGACGGCCGGACAGACCGTACGCAGATATACTACGGACGCAGACTTCATTCCACGACGACGTCGCCACGCGCGACGACGGCGGCCATGTTGCGATGCCGTCGCGCTGCGCACGGCACCGGGTGCCGCCAGGCAAGGGGGGTGTCGCGCAACGACGGCGGCGTCGTCGCCGACTTTTTCGAAGATGCAAATACCAGCGCAGTGCGCGCGGGGACGAGAGGGCCGAGTGGTGGCCCCCCTGCCGCAGGCGGATTCGCGAGCTGTCGATACCCGTCCACGGCTCTCGATTTGTCTCGAGACTGGGAGCGCGAGGGTCGAGAGAGTCGCGTGGGCGATGCCGGTTTCTACTTGGCGCCACTGTGGTTTTACAGGTGGCGCCGGTGAGGTGCGGGCGCCGTCCGCAGGCTTGGCGCGCACTGCTCAGGCGATGGGTGTTTATTTTTTCGGTTTAGTTGTTCTTTTTCTTCGTGTTTGGTGAGGAGGTGGTAACAAGAGAGTTCAACCATCCCAGTCTCTCTCCCTCTACCTTCTCTCTCCCCCTGTCTGTCTCTGCCCTTGTACCTCCTCTCGTCCCACGTCTCTCTCCCTTTAACCTTACTCTCCCCCTGATCTGTCTCTCCCTCTACCTTACTCTCTCCCTGTCTGTCTCTCCCTTTACCTCCCTCTCTCCCCAGTCTCTTCTCCCTTTACCTTTCTCACCCCTGTCTGTCTCTCCCTCCTACCTTCTCTCTCCCCCTGTCTGTCTCTGCGCTTTACCTCCTCTCTCCCCCAGTCTCTCTCCCTTTACCTTCTCTCCTCCTGTCTGTCTCTCCCTCTACCTCCTCTCTCCCCCTTGTCTAGACTCTCCATCGTACCTTTCTCTCTCCCTCTACCTCCTTTCTCCCCCTGTCTGTCTCTCCCTCTACCTCCTCTCTCCCCCAGTCTCTCTCCCTCTACTTCCTCTATCCCCTGTCTGTCTCTCCCTCTACCTCCTCTCTCCTCTTACCTTCTCTCTCCTCTACCTCCTCTCTCCCCCAGTCTCTCTCCCTCTTCTTCCTCTCTCCCCTTGTCTGTCTTTCCCTCTACCTCCTCTCCCCTAGTCTCTTTCCCTCTACCTTCTCTCTCCCCCTGTCTCTCCCTCCCTCCCTCTACCTCCTCTTCCTCCCTCTGTCTCTCCCTCCCTCTGTCTCTCCCTCCTCTCCCGCCCTCTGTCTCTCCCTCTCTCTCTGCCTCCTCTCTCTCCTGCCTCCTCCGTTCCCTGTGTCTCCTTCCCTCCACCTAATCTTGTCCTTGTATGTTACAATTGTGCCGTATGCAATAATTATCAGGGGAATAGAAGTTATAGATATATGTCAGATTACTGAGAATGGAGAGAGGCAGATAGTTAGAGAGAGAGAGAGAGAAAGAGAGAAATGAGAGAGAGCGAGGGTGAGATATAGAGAGAGAAAGAGAGAGAGTGAGAGGTAGAGAGAGAGGCAGAGAGATAGAGAGAGAGACAGACGAGAGAGAGGAGAGTAGAGAAAGAGAGAGAAATCGAGAACGAGCTGAGGGTGAGGATATAGAGAGAGAAAGCAGCAGAGGTGAGGAGGCAGGAGATAGAGAGAGAGAACGAGAGAGCAGAGAGCGAGAGCAGAGCAGAGAGAGCAGAGCAGAAGTGAGAGACACGAAGAGAGACAGCAGAGAGAGAGAGACGAGCAGAGAGAGAGAGTAGACCGATGAGACGAGAGACGAGAGAGACTGAGACAGAGGGGACAACGGTTGAGATGTGCAGGTTGGTGGCAAGGTGAGGGCCGAGAGCGTAGGAAACCATACTTTTGTCACGTTGTCCACTCCCAGTCGCGCCACTGTCCGTCCCACACATTCAAATCGGCTGTCGCCCGTCATTCCGGCAGTATGGCGCCATGTGTCTGGCCGACTCTTGGTGACCGAGGCGTCATCCTTTTTCCGCCTGCCCTTTTTGAACTTGTGGTCGCCCCTGTCGCCGCTCGCCGAAACGTTGTTTTTTTTGGTTATTCTGCGCTCCAATCCTACTATGCCACCCCGCCGGACGCGCAACACCATAGGACTGCGCTGCGACCTTTCTATTTCGAGGCGCCGCATTCCTCCGGCGCACGGATGGCCGCCACATGTGCGACGCCTAGGCCAGAAACAATACGGAGTGTTGCACGTAGGTGGGAGCGCCGCGTCCACCGCAGGCGGTGCCGCCACCCGTACAGATCGCGAACAGCGGCGAACCGGGCCCAGCTGCGCATCGGCGCCGGGCTTCTTCCGTTGGATGGATTTATTTCGTGTGTGTAGATGGTGCACCAGCGACGGTCTGCCTTCGTCCGCCGTGTTAATCGGTAAATGAACTAGTGACTAGTATGGTGTATTTTTTTTGCGTAAGAAAAAGTTAGTGTTATTGATAACAGAAGAGATGAACGTATATACATAGTATATGTATATGGTAGTACCAGTATACATATTAATATCTATAACTGACATATATTAAGCATACATCGCCATCGTCTATATCTACAGCATATTAATGTTAAGTTTACAAATGTGCATGAGACGAGCGACACGAGCGGAGATATTTTCGCTTTTTTGTTCTTTTTTTTTTTTTTTTTTTCTTTCTTTTTTTTTTCTTTTTTCTTTTTTTTGTCTGAGAGAGATGCCTATGCGGGATGGAAACGACCAGGCCGGTGGGAGATAGCAGAGCGGTTGCATGAGGAGAGAGACGGAGATCGAGGAGAGCCAAGTGTGTGGTGTGTCGTATGTGTGTACCGCTAAGAATGAGGAAACGCCGGCAGAAATAAGGAGCCAGAGAGAAAGAGAAGACGTCGTGGTGTGGAGAAGAGAGCCAGTAGACGAAAGTGGAGATGAGAGAAGAGAGAGGACATGATAGCAGAGAGAAGAGAAGAGAGAGAGAGCGACGAGAGAAGAGAAAGGAGACGAGAGAGGAAAGACGACGATGAGACGAGCCAGAGAGAGAGAGAGAGAGAGAGCAGAGAGAGATTGCTTATTTTCGGGCAGTAGTGGTTTTGAGCTTGGTAATTGTCACAACCTATAACACGCCTTCCCCCGCCCCTCCCCCACCCCACCCGCCATCCCCTCGGTCCCCCTCCCCTCCTGCCCTCCCCCGCGGTCGCATCAAGCTTCCTCGCCAACGATGCCACGATTCACACTGAGAGCTGGCAAAGAAGCCTCCACCATTCGCCGGGGGGACGAGGAGAGGGAGGGGTCCTGCTTGCGCGGCGGGTGGGCACGAAGCGCCGCTCCCACACCCCCCTGAACACTTTCCCCCCCCCCGTAGACTAGAACCACGTAGGAGGCCTAGCGAACAATGTAATAAATATATTGTCACGACATTCATATAATAATGATTTATTTGATTCTATTGCACTAGATCGAGTGATGATGCAGTGATTGCATGAAGACCGGTGGATCTCGTGACGCCCAGCTATTGGTTGCCCGCGGGCGGACAAAGTTTTGACAGTATTTTTCAGGTGATCAGCCCAATGTTGTGTGCTACGGAATTGCAAATTCACGTTTTGAAATTCTGTGTGTGA